GAAAGCTGGTGAGGGTGTTTTTTTGGGGAAAACCCGCGTCTAGATTGGCCACGGACGCTTTTCCGCAAAAAGTGCTTTTGCGGAAAAGCGTCCTGACAATCTAGACGCTCTTTTCTGAAAATGCTTTTAATGGAAAACTTTTCCGTTAAAAGCATTTCCGGAAAGTCATGCCAGTCTAGTCGTAGCCAGTAAGGGAACCAAAAAAGTGCCTCTGTGGGTTTACTACCAAGTAAAAGAAGCCGTGAGATAAAAAAGGCATTGTTTAAAAGCGAAAGTTAAACACTAGTGAGGAAAATAGAAAAAAGCATAAAGTCTCTCAAATTAAGTGTAAATATATAATAAGGAAAGCCAAAAAGAAGTTTGAAGAACAGCTAGCCAAAAACTCAGAGCAGGAAACCTGCTAAACAACCAGTGGGGCCCCTGGATGGTCAAGATGCTAATGGAGCACTCAAAGACGATAAGGCCATTGCAGAGAAACTAAATGAATTCTTTACTTCGGCCTTCACAGCTGAGAATGTGAGGGAGATTCCCAAACCAGAGCTGTTATTTTTAGGTGACAAATCTGAGGAATTGTCCCAGATTGAGGTGTCGTTAGAGGAGCTTTTGGAACAAATTGATAAACTTAAAAGTAACAAGTCACCGAGATGAGATGGCTTTCACAGAAGAGTTCTGTAAGAACTCAGCTCCTGAAATGTGCCACCCAGAACTGAACACAATACTCTAGGTCTACGTCTAGACTGGCATGATTTTCTGCAAATGCTTTTAACAGAAAAGTTTTCTGTTAAAAGCATTTTCAGAACAGAACGTCTAGATTGGCATGGACACTTTCCGTGCCAATCTAGACGTGCTTTTGTGCAAAAAAGCCCCAATCGCCATTTTCGCGATCGGGGCTTTTTTGTGGAAAACAAATCTGAGCGGTGTACAATGTCTCTTTTGCGCAAAAGCTTTGCGCAGAAGGGACTTTTGCCTGAACGGGAGCAGAATAGTATTTCCGCAAGAAGCACTGATTTCTTATATGAGCTCATCAGTGTCCTTGCAGAAATTCAAGCGGCCAGTGTAGACAGCTGGCAAGTTTTTCCGGAAAAGCAGCTGATTTTCTGGAAAAACTGGCCAGTCTAGACACAGCCAAGATGATTTAATGTGACTCCTATATTTACAAAGGGCTCTAAAGGTGATCCTGGCAATTACAGACTGGTAATTCTAATGTCAGTACTGGGCAAAGTAGTTGAAACTATAGTTAAGAATAGAATTGTCAGACATATAGATGAACATTATTTGTTGGGGAGAAGTCAACATGGTTTCTGTAAAGGAAAATCATGCCTTACTAATCTGCTAGAGTTCTTTGATGGGGTCAGCAAATATGTGGACAAGAGGCATGAAGTGGATATAGTGTACTTAGATTTCCAGAAAGCCTTTGATAAGGTCCCTCACCAAAGGCCCTTAAGTAAAGTAAGTTGTCATGGCATATATTGGCATTGGGAAAAATAATCCCAGCTATACATACATAAAATAACCAAAGGCCCTTAAGTAAAGTAAGTTGTCATGGCATATATTGGCATTGGGAAAAATAATCCCAGCTATACATACATAAAATATTTGACTCGTGCTTTTATTAATGTTTGAGTCTCTATGTGTGTGTTCCTCCTCTCTATAAACTTTTAGCTGGTTATGTCCCTCTGAGGTCTCATATTTTAAATTTTATTATATATTTGTATTTTTTGTTTGTTCTTGTAAGCCACCTTGAATATTTTAAATAGAAAGGCGGGGTAAAAATATTTAAATAAATAAAATAAATACAATATGATGGGGAGTAATTGAGCTACAATTACTCAAGAGAGATCTTGGAGTCATTGTGGCTAGCTCTCTGAAAACATCCACTCAATGTGCAGTGGCAGTCAAAAAAGCAAACAATGTTACAGCTCATTAAAAAAAGGGATAAAAGATAAGATAGAGAATAGCCTGTTGCCTCTATAAAACCATGGTATGCCCACATCTTGAATATTGCATACAGATGTGGTTGCCTTATCTTAAAAAGATATATTGGCATTGGAAAAGGTTCAGAAAAAGGCAACAAAAATGATTAGGTCCTGTATGAAGAGAGATTTAAAAAGACTGGGACATTTCAATTTAGAAAAGAGTAGACAAGGGGGGGGGAGATGATAGGTATGGAGAAAGTGAATAAGGAAAAGTTATTTACTATGGCTATGGCTATGTCTAGACTACAAACCTCTTTCGATAAAGAGCATCTAGACTACAACCAATACTTTCGAAAAAGCAAGCCGCTTTTTCGAAAGAGAGCACCCAGGCAGTCTGGATGCTCTTTCAAAAAAAGCAGTTTGCATTACATAGCGCCTTTTTTTCGAAAGAGCACTTTCTAAAAAAGGCGCTATTCCTTGTAAAATGAGGTTTTCCACGGTCGATAAAACTGCTGCGTTTTTTTCAATTTACTTTCGAAAGAACGTGGCAGCAACTAGACGCAAGGGAAGTTTTTTCGAAAAAGTCACTTTTTTCGAAAAAACCCTGTAGTCTAGACACACCCTATATGTTGTTATAAGAAGCAGAGGTCACTAAATGAAATTAACAGATAGAGGTTTTTAAACAAAAGGAAGACTTTTCACGTAGTGCACAGTCAACCTGTGGAACTCCTTGCCAGAGGATGTTGTGAAAACCAAGACTTTAACAGGATTTAAAAAAAACTAGATAAATCCATGGAGGATAGGTCCATCAATACTTATTAATCAGGATGGGTAGGAACAGTGTCCTTAGCCTCTATTTCTCAGAAACTGGGAATGGGCGATAGGGGAAGAATCATCACTTGATGATTCCCTGTTCTATTCACTTCATCTGGGGCAACTTGTATTAGTCACTGTTGGAAGACAGGTTGCTGTGCCAGATGGATGTTTGGTCTGAACCAGTATGACCGTTCTTATGTTACTTCTGGAGAGGATTTTTCCCACTTCAAGTTGTTTTCAGTTATCCAATGTTGCTTTGTCAGGATTGAATGTTGGTTACGGGACACTAAACAGGAGGTTTGGAATAACACGTGCCTCATGCTACAGTCTTACTGACCCACTCACAGAACACACCCCCTGCCATCCCCTCGTCCTCCAGTGATATGTGGCCACCGTTACCAGAATAAAGCCCACATTTTGGGCTGGATTGCTGACATCCTGGGCAGTGCAGGAAGGGATGTGGCTACATGGGAGGCGGGGTGCTGTGGAAACTCCGTTGTCTGATTTAATGCATTAGAGTGAGGGTAATCGAAGTTCATCTTCCCTTTTCCTGTTGCAGAGGCAACTCTGAGGCCGGGGTGAGGAGCTGGTGTCCCCCGATTGTCGATACTATTCCTGGCATATTTCCGACCTTGTAACTATGATGGGGAAGGAGGAATGGGGCGCCTCCACTATTTTCCAGTGTTAGAATTATAGAGCAGTGAATACCCTGCAGTCCTAGGCCAACAGGTCTGTCCCCTCCTATCAGCAGGCACAGAGGAAGCACTTGCGTTTGGCCAAGGTGCGTTTCAGTTGACAGCTGATAGACATCTGCCCGGCGATGTTAGAAAGCCTGGACTAAAAGGTAGTTTGATGGGAGGGAGACCGATCCAGAGCGGAGAGGTACAAAGGTCTGAGGGGATTCTACATGAGCAGAACTTAATGCAGGATCTGACTTGGATTTTTTTTAATGTAAAGTATTCAGGTTGCCTTTGCAGAGACGTGTTAATAATCTGCGCTCTTCCTCGCCGTTCTGAGGAGGCTATTGAGTATTTTTAGAGAGTGCAGATGAGGCTGCAGTGAGGCCTTAACAAGCACAGGATCAGGCTCTAAACTGCTGGCAAGTCCACACAGTGAACAAACTGAATAAACACTTTGATCTTTCTGCTGCAGTGTCCGTCTGGGTGGCACCCAGCAATGCCAGGCGAAAAGGAATAGCTCTGTGGTGGTGTTGTGACTGCGGTTGCTTTAAGAAGTTGCGTTCGTGCTGGTTACTCTCTCAGATTTTGTCTACACAAGCAAGCTTAGAGTGGTGCCGCGGTAGCCTCTCTCAGATTTTGTCTACACAAGCAAGCTTAGAGCGGTGCCGAGGTAGCCCTGTACCACAGCAGTGCGGGCATGATAAGAGCGCTGGGAGAGAGCTCTCTCCCAGGGCTGTAGACAAACCACCTCCAGGAGGGGAGTAGCTGGGAGCGCATTTACCCTGCTGCTTCACAGCGCTGTGACTTGCTGCGCCCATAGAGTCCATGCTGAGTCGCGACCCTGAGCACCAAATCCTCGGGGCCTGGAGGCTCCACTTCTCCAGCGAAGCCGCACGCTGCCCAGGGACGCTGCCCAGTTCATAGCGAGGCCTGTGTCAAGGACATCCCAAAACATGCAGTAGAACTGTATGATGAGCTGTTGGTGCCTGCAGATGGGTTAGTGAGCATCACACAGAGCCCTTCTGAGAGCTTGGCCAGAGTGGAAGGAAGCTTTAGCTGGTCTGCAGCAACCCATGCTGACCACCAGGCTGCACAGAGCCCTTCTGAGAGCTTGGCCAGAGTGGAAGGAAGCTTTAGCAACCCATGCTGACTACCAGGCCTGCATCCCACAGGGCCACTCACAGATTGGTCAGTCCGGAGAGGAAAGGCTGGTGTAGAAAATTCTCGCCCTTTATCTCGTCTGCTCTAGAGCCATAAGGGCAGCGCTGTCCTCTGCTAGGAGATGGGACTTTTCTCTTCCTCTTCTCCAAAGCACACAAGAAGCAGGAGCCACAACACATCCAGTGGTTCCATCCATAACTAGACAAAAACAACATGAGCTCAGAGTTCCTTCAGGACCCACAGTTCTTCCCATTTCTCCCAGCGCTCACTGCAGATTCAGAGACAATGAGGATCGGGAACCACATATCTTTCAACCGCTGTGGCTTGATTAGGCAACGAGGCAGCCAGGTCATGGCCATATGCACTCGGCTTTTGTTGCTGCTTGGCCTAAAAACTGGCGTTCTAGCTTCCTCAGCCAGTCTGGGCAGGTCACAGGCAGCCTGGCTCGGTTATTAGGGGGCAGGAGTGCTGGGTACATGCAGCTGCAGACACACTGCAAAAGTGGTGGTTATTTTTTCATACAATATACCCCTTCCCTGCTCCTCCCCAGCTCTGAGCAGAGGGAAAGATGTGCCTCTACCCTGGTCAGGCCAGCCCACCTCCCAGAAGGACTCCACAAAGCCAACATCCTCCTACAGGGTATTCTTACAATGCCATCAAGCTGGCCTGAGTTGCTGAGCTAGAAAGGGGTGTCGTGCCTCAGTGGGTCACATCTGGGAATACCAAATTCAGGACAGATTGCTGAGAAATAGGGCAGACACACTGCAAAAGTGGTGGTTATTTTTCCATACGATATACCCTACTAGCAGCAAAGGTAAACCTCTGTCTCATCACACGGGCTAACCAGAAGTCAGAAATGCAGCTTCCTTAAATATTCCAGTCCTTGTTTCAACACCCAGATGCTAGAGTTAATGAGGAGTGGTGTGTTACAACCAGTTTCATTAAAAGTCTTTTTACGAAAGACTTTTGCGCCAAACGGCCAGTGTAGACAGCACAGTACTGTTTTCCACAAAAAAGCCCCGATTGCAAAAATGGCGATCGGGGCTTTTTTGCAGAAAAACGCGTCTAGTTTGGCCACGGATGCTTTTCCGCAAAAAGTGCTTTTCCGTTAAAAGCATTTCCGGAAAATCATGCCAGTGTAGACGTAGCCTATAGGTTTATTTGCATGAGAAGAGAAAAAGGTGAGAATTACAACTGGGGAAAGCAATCAAATAATCAAACATTGCAACATTCTGAGATCAGGTTTGAATCGATGATGGAATAAACTGCTGGCTTATTAAGTGTCTGGTTGCTTCCAAAAGATTGGACAGTTCTCTGTCCTGTGGTTAGAATGATCTCATTAGGATATGTCTATAGTCCGGAGATCAGAACAAGGAAGAGGCCAAATGGAGTTGTTTCATTAGCCTTTTAGAGCTCTCTGGCATGTGGATAGCAGGGTTTCCTCTTTGGCTGTGTCTACACTGGGCCACTTATTCCGGAAAATCAGCCGCTTTTCCGGTATAAGCTGCGAGCTGTCTACACTAGCCCTTGAATTTCCGGAAAAGCAACGATGCTCTACTGTACAAAATCAGCCGCTATTCCGGAAAAACTATTCTGCTCCCGCTCGGGCATAAGTCCTTATTCTGGAACACTGTTCCGGAAAAGGGCCAGTGTAGACAACCCAGTAGTCTTTTCCGGAAAAAAGCCCCGATCGCGAAAATGGCGATCGGTGCTCTTTTCTGGAAAAGCGCGTCTACATTGGCCACAGACGCTTTTCCGGAAAAAGGGTTTTTCCGGAAAAGCAGCCTGCCAATGTAGACGCTCCTTTTCCGGAAAAACTGAAAACGGAATAGTATTCCGTTTTAAGCAGTTCCGGAAAAAGGTGCCAGTGTAGACACAGCCTTTTTTTTTCCCCATCCATGTGTGGAATGCATGTTGTTGTGTGCACTGATGCATGTGCTCTTGTGCATCACCAGTGGAAACTCACCATCGTGTGCATAACACAGAGACTGTGTGTGCATGTGTGAGAGAGAGAGAGAGATGCACCAGTGTATACGGCAGGGGTGGCCAACCCGCAGCTCACAAGCTGCATGCGGCTCTTCAAAGGAAAAGTTGCAGCTCCTGCACCCGTGGCTGTTCTTCATTCTCCTGCTCTGTCCTTTTGTCCTTGTCTGGTCAGGGCGCTGCTTGGGGCAGGGAGATCTGATGCTGCAGCCAGTGGAAACCTGCTTTGGCCACACATGGCTCTTAAAGGGTCAGCATTTTGTTTTTTCTCAACAACTTTCCGACCGATGGAAGCCTGCTTGGGCTACATGCAGCTCTGGGGGGTTGTGGGTTTTTTTTTTTTTTGCTCAACAGCTTTTTTCCCTCGGCTCTTCGCACTGTATCCACCACTATTTTGGCTCTTTGTCTGTGACAGGTTGGCCATCCCTGGTGTATGGGTTTGGGTTATTCAGGCTGAGTATGGGTGAGAGAGACAGAGACTCTGTGTGTGTTTGCAGAAACTTACTGGGTAAGTTTCCGAGAAACCCCATGCACTGTCTCTTTAAGACACTGCAAGCTTCCCCTGAGCCCTGTAGTCTCTCCTCACCCACTCTGTGCAGATGGGGCACGTGAGCAGGGAAAGGGGGAGAATATGTGTGTGACACAGGGTGTGTGTTTGTGTGTGACACAGGCCTCTGTCTATGTGGGGTCCCAGCTCCCTGTAGACTGAGGTTGCTGAGTGGGATGCATAGCAGCCTCTGTTTGCAGGGAGCTTCGGCCTGGTGCACATAGAGGCTGCTTCGTGGCAGCCTCCTCTGGTCCCCTCCTACAGAAGCAGCAAGGAGGAGGGGGAGAATGTGAATAGTTGACAAGGCTTATTGGTTAATCGTGTAGTTGACCACGTGTTGATATCCCCTAGTTCAGACAACTTCCTCTGCCTCCTTCTGGTTCAAGTAGAGCCTCTGAGCCAAACAGCAGAGCAAGCTGAGCTCCCCAGCCAGTAGGGTTGCCAGGTGTCCGGTCTTCACTCGGACAGTCTGGTTTTCACCACCATTGTACATGGCCGGTATTTTCTGTTTTTCTCAGATGGAAGGCAGGTGGGGATTTAAAGGTGCAGCAATCTTTTTTTTTTTTTTCCCTCAACCAATTTTTTTTCCCTCCATGTTTGGTATTTTGTTGTAAAGTATCTGGCAACCCTACCAGCCAGAAGCTTTGTGGACAGAGCCCTTGGGGACCCAGAGCTCTGTTGGGTTCTTTCTCTCCAAGTCAGCTCCCTCACTAGAGCTCCCCTAAGGAGTGTGGGCCTGGCCTGAGTTGGGGGGATGGAACGGGCCATGAGGAAGATGTAGTTGTACCTTAAGAGTGCAGCAGAGCGCTCAGGTCCCCTAGGGAATAAGCTGGGCCATTCCTGAAGCAGGGGAGATGGACCTTTATTGCAGGTGAGCGTGTCTTGTGATCCCAGAGCCCAGTCTCTACAAAGTGGGGGAGTGGGGAGCGTCTCTGGGTGGGTGACTCAGATCCTGGCTCTGGAAGCAGTAATGGCTTAATGGACAAGATCAGCACTTGCTTAATTGCTCCCCCACGCCCCCAGCAGGATTTCCAGACTCCAGCGCTCATGGGATCTCCTGGGTAGAGCGAGGGGAAGAGCTGCAGATCCCTGATCTCCAGGGCTGTGAGGAAGGGGAGATCATCAGTGACAGCCACACAGGTGAGTAATCAGCTAAACTGACTCAGAAACCAGCTTCCCTCTCTTCTTAGTAGGTGTCCCTTGTACATTTTCATCAACTCTAATTGACCCATCAGCCTGTACTTAACTCCAGTCAGAGGGTATGAGGAAGGTTGAGTTTCCCCCTCTGGAGAAAGGTTGTGGGGAAGGAGAATGAACTCAGTTGATGATTAGTGAACCTTTCCAGCCATTATTTGGGTGTACTCTCCTTTTTCTGTTCCCCCTTCAAAGTTTTCTTTTCAACTCAGCACAGAGAATGACTCTAGTCTGGATTCTCTCTCTATCCCAGCAGGTGATGGGACGGTGAGTGAGAACAATGAGGAGTGTCTTCAGCAGGAAGGACCAGAGCAAGTGGCTCCAAGTGAAATGCCATTGGGAATATCTGAAGGGCATGTTTCTCAGAGTCCTGAGCAGGGAGAGACCTGTGAGAGTCAGCATAGCCCAGAAAGACAGCAGGGAAACCATCCAGAAGAGGGACAGGGTGAATTCAGTTATATGAGCAGAAGTGTGGAAAGAAACACAGAAACCACTGAACAGAAAATCCCCCTTCAACAAGCACCCTACACTTGCAGTGATTATGCAACTCTTATTGAACATGAAAGAACCCACACAGGAGAGAAGCCCTTCAGATCCTCTGACGGTGGGAGATGCTTCGGTCAGAGCTCAGACCTTATTAAACATCATAGAATCCACACAGGAGAGAAACCCTTCAACTGCTTTGACTGTGGGAAAAGCTTCAGTGAGAGTTCAGATCTTGTTAAACATAGGAGAATCCACACAGGGGAGAAACCCTTTTACTGCTCTGACTGTGGGAAAAGCTTCAGCACGAACTCACATCTTGTCCGACATCAGAGAACCCACACAGGAGAGAAACGTTTCAACTGCTCTGACTGTGGGAAAAGTTTCTTTGAGAGCTCAGACCTTATTACACATAGGAGAATCCACACCAGAGAGAAACCCTTTTACTGCTCTGAATGTGGGAGAAGCTTCAGTCAGAGGTCAGACCTTGTTAGACATAGCAGAATCCACACAGGAGAGAAACCTTACAGTTGCTCTGACTGTGGGAAAAGCTTCAGTCAGCGGTCAGATCTCGTTAGACATAGGAGAATCCACACCGGGGAGAAACCTTTCAGCTGCTCCGACTGTGGGAGAAGGTTCAGTGAGAGCTCATTCCTTGTTAAACATAGGAGAATCCACACCGGGGAGAAACCTTTTTACTGCTCTGACTGTGGGAAAAGCTTCAGTAGGAACTCACATCTTGTCAGACATAAGAGAACCCACACAAGAGAGAGATGTTTCAGGTGCTCTATCTGTGGGAGTAGCTTCAGTACGAGATCACTCCTTGTTAGACATAGGAGAATCCACACTGAGGCAAAAAACTTTGTCAGGGCTGTTCCCCACTCTGGCACTCAGAGTGCAGATGGTGAGGGTCCACAAGAGAGCTTCAAAACCTTGCTTCTACAGGCACTGGTTAAAAAAATCTCCAACCAGAATAATAATACACAGATTTTGGGGAATCCCTGTCACAATCAAGTGCTTTTTCCCTAAAAATCAGGTGTGAACACTTGAAATCACCCCCAAGGTACTCCAAGCTCTTTTGCTGCAAAAGAGCTTGAAAAATAAAAGGAAAAACAAGTTGCAGTCTCTGGTAGCTGACCCCTCAGTGAGAGGCATGTAGATACACACAGACAGACCTTCCAACACACATGAAACAAATAATCACCTTAAAATAAGTTGTTTTTATTACAAAACAAAAGATAAACTTGATAAAGCATACTTGGTTGCTAGATATTACAGAACTACTAAGGAAAACAAATTTAAAAACAGAATTTCTAGGAACAATGCTTAGATGGTAATTGGAGGAGGGAAGGCATAGACTCTTACAAAGCAGTTGAAACCAAACCACAAAATAAAGAAAAATTATCCTGAACACAATTGGATTCACTTTTCCCTTTTTACTGACTTCTACTTTTCTCTTTGTTCTGAAAACTCCAAATTCCTTGGAGACATGGAAGGTCCTGCCTGGGTTTAAATCATTCTGTGTCTTTCAATTCCTGGTTTATCTTTCCCACACAAGGAATACAGGCAAGGAACCTATGTCAATTCAGATTTCAACACTCTATCTTGATTGGTTTTCCTGGCCCAGAAAATGCTCCAGGAGTGATGAAAAGAAATGTGAAATACAAGTACAGAGCCCATATTCATAACTTCAAGTACAAAAATGATACATATATATGTACAAAAATTCTTCTAAAACAAAAGTGGAATTGATTAACAAATTCATGGTCCGTTTTTTTTGTCAGTGTTGTGGTCAGATTATTTTTAAAACCGTGAACTTCACTATTTCAGATCATGAAATTTCAAATTTCAATGTGTTGTACTTGTAGGGGTCCTGACCAAAAAAGGAATTTTGGGGTTGGGGGGGGTGTCACAAGGTTATTGTTGTGGGGGGGAGGTTGGTATTGCTACCATTTTGTGCTGCCTAGAGTGGGGTGCTGCAGTCAGAGCTGGGCACCTGACCAACATGTAGGTATCAACGACAGGAAAGCTTTCACGTGTTAATTACATTGTATTATGAATGTGGATGGTTCCATTTATTAGGATCAATGATGTAAGATTATGCAGGAAGTCATATGAGTTATATTGTCCTCAAATCAGTCCTATTTAAATATGGCAATTTGGCACTGTGAGAAAGCTGGTGCAACCTATCACCTCCAGTTAAAGAGAAGAACCTAGAAGATTTAAACAAAACCTTTCTGTCTGGCAAGGACCCACTTATCAGTAATTGGGTTTATGAAATTCTCATTTTTTTGTTACTATGTTTCCCATCTCTCTATTGTTTCTCTGTATTGCCTCTGTCTGGTTCTTTGATTGTTTCTGTCTGCCTTATAATTAATTTTGCTGAGTGTAAACCAATTAAGGGGGTGGGATATAATTGGTTAGATTATTATACTACAGTAGGGGAAGGCTGGCTAATTCAATTTCAGTAGAATGATTAGTTAAGTAAATATAACTGTATACATTGGGTCAAGCAGGAAATGGGTGGGAAAGAGCAAGGGGGAGGGGAAAAAAGGAAAGGAAATTGGATTTGTGCTTGCTGGAGGCTAACACCAATAAACATTGAATTGTTTGTGTCTCTGGACTTCGGGTATTGCTATTCTCTGCTTAGTGATGTGAGAAGGACCAGGGAAGTGGGAGGATGAAGGGAAAAGCCCTCTAAGGGTATGTCTACACAGCATTATTACTTCGGAATAACAAAGTGCACGTCTACACTACATTTCAACATAATGTTGAGCTGGGAGGATTCTTTACTCTGATTCCTGTAACCCTCATTTTATGAGTAAGGGAAGTCGAAAGAAGAGTGTTCTTCCTTCGACTTCCTGCTGTGTAGAAGCGCCAAAAGCTGAATTAAGCTATTTCGACTTCAGTTACGCAATTAACATAGCTGAAGTGGTGTAACTTAATTCAGCTTTTGTCCTGCAGTGTAATGGATTCCTGGGGGCTTGACACCCAATCTTGTCATCACTTAGGACAGAAGCAAGGATGTTTGCACTCTGGGATGCTCTCTCTCTATTCGATGCTACCCTGGCACACTGGAGTTGGCAAGAACAAATCTTGTCAAACCGACCTGACAGCTTGCTTTGACAGGGTAACAAGTCTTGTGGATAGTTGACAAGCAGTAGACATATCTCTAGATTTGAGTGAGGCATTCAATATAATGTACAAAAAAGTAACAGGTGAAGCTTTTCAAAGCAGCATAAAAATGTTAGGCACCCTATTCCCTGAATATTTTAATGGGATTTCAGCACTTAACTCCAACATGCTACTTTGAAAATTCCAGTTGTAATCTAGTGACTCTTATGCACATTCAGATGCATATAGTTCTCCTTCTGTATAAGCTACAGGAACCTTGGATTTTGCACAATAACAGCATGAATTGAGTCTGTCATTCTTTCTGAAGGAACTAGAAGACTTGAGTACAGTCCTTGGGACAAGGAGACGGTTCACTTCATCTTGCTTCTGTTCCCATTTAAGTCAATGACAGAATTCCCATTGATTTCAGTGGGAATCAAGTCGGCTACGTCTACACTGGCCCCTTTTCCGGAAGGGGCATGTAAATTTCACTTTGAAGTAGGAATAAGACCCTCCGGAAAAGGGCACTTTTTCCGGAGGATCGGGGCCAGTCTAGACGCTCTTTTCCGGCTTTTTTAAAAGCCGGAAAAAAGCGGCGGACATTTTTATTTAAATGCCGCGGGGGATATTTAAATCCCCCGCGGATTTCCCTACGACGACTAGTGAAATTTACATGCCCCTTCCGGAAAAGGGGCCAGTGTAGATGTAGCCGAGATGTTTAAGTCCCTGCTTGACAAAGCCCTGGCTGGGATGATTTAGTTGGGGTTGGTCTTGCTTTTAGCAGGGGATTGGACTCAGTGACTCCTGAGGTCTCTTCCAGCTCTATGATTCTATGACCAGCTCATTAACAAACTAGGGAAATACAACTTTGAGGAGCTACTGTGAGGGTGCATAATGGGCTAGAATACCCATTCCCAGAGAGTAGGTTAAGCACTGGAATGAATTGTCTTGTATGGGGGAAAATCAAATAACTCCAATTGTGTCTAAGGGAGGACACTGGAGGAAATCAAAACTCTCTAAAAGAAAACTGCTGTAAGGGTTAAAAGTTTTCCAGACCTCTCTCCCTGTATCAGAGTGAAATCATCTAAACTCTAATCAAAGACCTTTACAATGCCTATCTCAAGTTCATGGATACTCCTAGTCTGTCACAAATTGTCATGTAAACTCTTATCTTTGTCACAGTTTGCCTACTCACTCAGGTTCTCATGTGCCTTTGTTCTGTAAAACTTACTTCTAGCACTCCTGGGCTACGTCTACACTGGCCCCTTCTCCGGAAGAGGCATGCTAATTTAGAACTTTGGAATAGGGAAATCCGCGGGGGATTTAAATATCCCCCGCGGCATTTAAATAAAAATGTCCGCCGCTTTTTTCCGGCTTTTAGAAAAGCCGGAAAAGAGCGTCTACACTGGCCCCGATCCTCCGGAAAAAGCGCCCTTTTCCGGAGGATCTTATTCCT